TTCTTTATAGAAAGACCACAAGTTTTAACTTTGGATTGACGTATGCTTGAAAAAATTATTAGAGAGTTTGTTGTGGTCACATCATCACTCTATATTTAAAATACCAAAAATATCCACAGAATCCATTATGATACCGGCCGCAATGAGAGTATGTGATTAAGATACCGATCGGCTTTCAGCCATAATACCAATATCTGGCTAAGATATCGGCCAATAATTGTTATTATTGGCGGCACTCTAGCAGCCATAGTCACCGGAATACTTAAAAACTCAAAAAAATCACCAGCGTCATAAATAAAGCACATACAAAAAATTGACGACCGTTTCACCAATATTCATGGAAACAATCACAAATGATCTACAAAAATACCAAAAAAGAATCTAATAACAAGAATCTCAAACACAGAAAATCAAAAAAATAAAAAAAATGTTGCAGATCTGATTGTGTTCCTACAAATCCAATTTTACCACCACAGACCCAGCTTCGCAGCACCGTCGAAAGGCCGTAAGAAGGAGCTTCACGACGACAACGAACGACACTTAAGGTGGTGGTCGTAAATAGATCTCAAAGGTAGCTTCATTTCTAAGCTCCATATATTTCCTATGGAAGCCTGACGTGGGGCAGCAGGAAGGAAGGGAGGAAGGGAGGGAGGGAGACAGGGAGAAAGGGAGGGGGTGGGGGAGTCAACTTCCTCGTCGGATGAGAGGGGAAGAGCATGAGATTAAAAAGAAAGTCCTAAATTAGATGAGGGCACTTCAGTCCATGCAGGTTCTCTTTTTTAATTGTTGTGTGAGAAATTGAGAGTTTTTTTCTCTCTGACAAACATCTATCCACAGTGAAAATCCGTGGTATTTGAGAAAATCGTTGAATTTATCTTAGAGCGGATGAGTTTAGATTTTCTCTTTATTTTTGATAAATTTTTTTAACTAATTTGTTATTTGACTGAAAAAATATTAATAAAAAATAAAAATCTAAACATATAGGCTGTGTTTGGAATTGATCATGTTTTTATTTTTCACACTTTTTGAGAGAAAAAGAAAATATTTTTAAAACAGCGTTTGGCGCAATAAAGATAAAAAATAGAAATGAAAATGATTTTTTAGTTTAGTATAAAATGAGAGAGAAATGAAAAATAAATTTTAGTCGTTTTTTATTTTTTGTTTCATTTCTTCCTCTCTTGAACAGAGAGAGAAAAAGAGAGATATTAATGAGTTTTTTTATACTGAAAATAATTTTTTAATAAAATTATTAAATATATTTTTAAAAATAATTTTTATTTAAAATTAAAAACGCTTTCATTTTTATTTGTGTTTGGAATTGATCATGTTTTTATTTTTCACACTTTTTGAGAGAAAAAGAAAATATTTTTAAAACAGCGTTTGGCGCAATAAAGATAAAAAATAGAAATGAAAATGATTTTTTAGTTTAGTATAAAATGAGAGAGAAATGAAAAATAAATTTTAGTCGTTTTTTATTTTTTGTTTCATTTCTTCCTCTCTTGAACAGAGAGAGAAAAAGAGAGATATTAATGAGTTTTTTTATACTGAAAATAATTTTTTAATAAAATTATTAAATATATTTTTAAAAATAATTTTTATTTGAAATTGAAGACGTTTTTATTTTTATTTTTATATAAAAAATAAAATTATTTTAGAATGAGTTTGTGCGTATTTTTCTAGTTTTCTCTTCTCTTATATATATCTTCCGTGCTTTCGCCTGAGGCAGATGCCTTGCATCAATTCAAGGCTCAAACTCGGCCCAACCAAGAAACTCATACGGGCCTAAAGTTGGACTGTGTAACGTATTGGGTTGGCCCAACCCAACTTACCTATCAGCCCTTACAAACTGGTCGTTCTCATTCCCTCTCTGTTGGTTGCCCTTCCTGGCTCCCTCGCTCTGGAGAGAAGATTTTGAAATTCTGGCGCGTTCTCCTTCTTACACAGCCATTTCAGTCCCTTCTCTGTCGCTACAAAAATGGCGAAAAAACCGAGAATCTTCAGCATCGCAGAGCTTATCCATGGCGGCCGTCCTCTCACCGGCGCCGACTCTCTCGACTCAGACCTCCGACGCCCTTCAATTTCTCCCCAATCATCACTTTCCAACCAATCCACACGCCCTATTCCTTCCAACTCCACTTCTAACCCTAACCCTAGAATTCTCACTCCTCTCAATTATCCTGCCATTATCGATGGAAACTTAACCCTCCCAGCCGTTTCGGATGGCGCCTCTTCTTCTAACTCTAGCATTCGGTGCTTCTGCAACAGTTGCTTCCAGTTTTCAGATGGTTCGGCTACTATTTGTTGCGACATTCTTGACCTCGATCCATTCATCATCGGAAAGAAAATCCGTGTTCTTGCTTGGAATTTCATTCCTATTAAGCGTGTCGGTGGGTTCTTGGAGATTATCCGGTGGAGTTTCCCGGACTCCGAGAATGGTCGTCCTCGGTGTTTGGACGGGGACTCTTTTCCGTTAGCTCCGAGCTCTTCCCGTGGCTGTGAGAATAGTTCCAAGTCTCGCTATCGTCTTCACGGCTCACTGGAGTCGGTTAGCCCGATTTCTGTGAATCCCTGCACGTCCGGCGATAGCAACTCGCGGAGCACCACGGGTTCTAATTTAAAACCATCTTTTAATATTCGAGGTTTTTTGGTTCGAATTTTGGTCTGTGAGTGCAGATTATGCAATTCTAAGGAGTCCTTTACCATATTGAATTGCTCGGTTCAAGAGCAGAATGCTCATAATTTTACCAAGCCCGTTATCGTGTATTTTTGCGTGTCAGCTTCATCTTGGCACCCTGTGATTGTGAAACTTATCGGCAAAGTTGTGACTATATCAGGCTTGAAAAAGAAGTTAGTTTATATAGGAAATGAAGAGTCCATTTTAATGTATGTTACTTCGGAGAAGTCTTATCTACATGTTCCCAGATTTCAGGAGAAATTTGTTCCTGGTAACCAAACTTATGTAGAGGGGAAAGGAGAATGTGGTTCTTATACTGGCATAGTGAAAGGTGTATATATGCAAGGGATGGTCGTTGAGCTTGACCATGAAGTGTGGCTTTTGTTAACCAGCCATTTGTTTACTGCACCGCATAGTCTCAGGATTGGCGCTCTTGTAAGCAAGGATTCTTTGTTAGTTTCCGACATCAAGTTAGTATTTTGATACAAACACGATTATATTCTTTTTTCTCTAATTGTTGGTTTCTCTTTAGATATCTGTGAAGAATGTTCATTTTGTGAATCCAAAATTTTCTTGGACGAAGATGCTTATACTTGGTGCTTGCTACAAGACTAGCATCACTATCGAATGCTTCTCTCCATTCGTTACTGGGTATGCTTTTTGAACGTCAATATTTTTATTTTGTCTGCGGGTCTATTGAGAGGCATCTTCAGACCAAATGGTGAAAATTTATTTCTTTTTAGTTTTGCTGATTCTTTGATTCGGGTTATATGCGGAAAGAACTGGAATGTGAATTTGTTTGAATATACCATTGAGTCATTGAATTATGTAAAGGAAAATGGGGAATAATTTCCCCCGACTCTGCCCTGGTTGTGGTTTTGACTTCATATTTATCCTTTCTTGTTTTGTTCCCCCTTGTAGAAACTAAAATGCTTTTTTCTTCGTAAATATGCCAACGTAGAAAGAATAAATAATTCAATTATATGCTGCAGGTGTCACATACTTTCAGATTCAAGAAGTGTCATGGGGAACTTTATTGAGTCTTTAACCTTTTCTGCCAGATTATGGTATGCAATTTTTCATACTTGTTTGGTACGGAAACTTCATGGCTCTGTGGAACGTTTGAAAATTATAAGATTCCTGTTGAATTTATTAAGTTAATTAATTTGATTTCAGGGTGTTGCTTCTCGTGTCATGTTTCCGGAAAAAGTTTGCTGGTATATTATCTGAGAAGGAGATATTGGGATCAAAACATGTAACTCTCCTCTATATATTTTCAGATACTTTAAGATTTCTTTCCTATACGCAGTACTTGTTATGTTATTATCTGATGAGTATGACAATTGCAAGGTGCTACCAGAGGGAAGGACTGGTTCAGATCTATGCCAATTCACAATTACCTTCATCAATGTTTCTATCTTCAGTGAATAAGGTAATTAATAAGGGAATGACAATTCATTGAACCAAAAACATTTCTACCTTGGAGATTATCCTCTTATAATTCTGTACCATATCTATAAGAAAATTCCTTTTGGCAGCATGGAATATTTATGTTGCTGTGCAAGCATGATTCATGTGGTTGTGAAGGACGCAGTGGTAACCTGATGTTGGTAAGTCTTTATTGTGGTTCAATGCGAACCACATACTAAGCTATCCTGATGCTGTATTCTCTTCATTATTTCAGATTGTGCCTATAGTTACCTTCATCAACCATTGTCATGCCAAATGGATGAGAATGATACAATTGGAACATGATAAAACATTGCAAAAGGAGAACCTATACAGTCTTCTCTTATGTGAAGGGAGACCTTATGATCAGTCAATTAGAAAGATTTTCTCAAGTGAAGATATAGGCATCGTCTTAATTGGAAATCTGAAGGTTTGTGGTTTATTTATCCGCAAGTTCAAATTGTTTCAATTGCCAGCACCCTTCGAGTTGATTGTGTACTTTATACTGAAGAAGAGTTGAGTTGATTGACCATCTTTTGCCTATTTGGTAATTATGATCTTCAGTTCATCTAATCATAACTATATGTTAATCATCCAGATTTCTCCAACTTCTGGAAGATTGCAGTTGGTTGATGCCACTGGTAGAATTGATGTTATTGTACCGGATCTTCCATCAACCTGGAATTCCAACAGTATATTTGAGGTTACATTTTGAACAGTTTCTTTCAAGTCACAATTCATTGAACAGTTTCTTTCAAGTCACAATTCATTCTCTATGATTTATGTAACGATCTGTTGGGCTGGGAGAGAAGGTGCATTAATTTGTTAGGTTCATTCTGCCTTTTAAGTTGCTTAGCCTGTTTTTTCGCTTTTCAGGTAGTCGACTATAATCTTATTATTGAAGGCATGCCCAGACTGGCAGATAATCTGGAATTGCTCGACAAGTGTTTCTCATGTAGAAGTATATTTAACTTTATTCCTTTAGCAAGGGATGAAAACTTGACGGTTTATGTTTACTTTCACCTGCGGAATACTGCTTGCAGAAACGTTTCCTTTTATCCTCGCATTGAATTTGGAGAAGATTTGGAGAGACTTGAAAGTCAAACTTATCATATGCTTCAAGTAACGCATAAATTTCCTGCACTAGAAAAGGTATGCCCAACTACAGTTTCTTGATGGTTGTTAACACTTAACAGTATGCTCTAAAAATTTCTGTTTTAGTCCATTATCCCAATGGAATAGCAAGAAGGGAAAAAGATATTTGGGAAAAAAAACTTTGAAACTCTTAATCTTCTAATTGCTTGTATCAATGTAACAGTTTCAAGGTGACACAGCTATGTCAGATCCACCAAGCATGTTTGCCGAGGCTGTTATTCTTTCTTGGAATTTATCTGTTGCCAGAAAAGATGGATTTGTGCATGCAACTAAGAATTCAGGAGATCAGCCGAAGAAGTGCATGGAACATTGTAATGGAAAAAATGATCAAGAACATATTTCAAAAAGACGTAAAGTTGATCATGCATCAAGCAGGGAATTGTCAGGTTTAGTAGATATTCCTCATAATGCTGAGCGACTGAGGACTTGCTCTAATTCTGATGTTGAACCCAGTGGGAAACACAGCTGCTGCAACTGCACTTCTCATGAGATTCCTGCTTCTGCGACCATTAAAGTAGCTAAAAATCAGAGTGTCGTTCGTTCAGTCATCTTGAATTACTCAGGATCCAATTTAAATGGCCATGGCCTTTGCAGACGAAGCTCACATAAGGTATTCCTGGAGTTTAAGCCTGAAAACTTTCATATATATCAGGTATATGACGGCTCTCTCTCTCTCTCTCTCTCAATCATGGTTTCTTATCCGATATTGGTATAAGAATAATTTCTTGATGAACCTTCACTTTCATGTAAACTTGTGTTCATTTTCATGTACTTCCAGCTGTTGCAGATTGGTTGCTATTACATTACAGAGCATTATAAAGAAGATTCTTTCTGTAATTTTAAGGATTCTGATTATGTCAGTGGTGTTAAAGTTCTTGCTTCGTCTAAACTGCATCTCTGGAGCCTTTCATTAACTCCTGATGATGTTCTTCCACCTACTAATTTAGCAAACTGTCCTCCGTCAGATAATTCTTGTCACATTGGTGGTGACGTGGTTTCTTCTGAGGCTTACAATGAGTTATGTCTCCAGATGCCAAATCGTGATTGTTTAGAATCCTGTTCAGATGTTTCTCTCTGCCTGCCTGCAAATATGAGAGATATTTTGGAGGTGAACATGAGTGAACTGGAAGAGCGCTTGATTAAACCAGCTGTGAGACCTGAAGGAATTGCTGAATTATTTTCATGCATCGGGGATGTGGCATCTGCTCCTCTCTTGCCCAATATTAATTTCTTGTTACCCGAAGGAAATTTAGTATCTTTGCGAGGTCATGTGGTTACCGTACATGGTGTCGACATGCATGGAAACAGCCAAAATCATGGTGATCCTCTCGGGTCAAGATTGTTTAGCGGAGTTGCAACCACTTCTTGTTTTCATGTCATGGTGGAACATCAAATTGTAATTGTCAAAAATTGTTTTTTTTTCCTTCTCCTTTTGGCATGTTATTTTAAAAGATTACAAGCCATCTCCTTGCATTATTTGAATGAAACAGGTGAAGGTAGTCGGTTCTTTGAGCAAACATGTTTTTCCTCCTGGCTTTGGGCCTGGTGTAGATGCAACCTTTCATCGAGTTCTTGAATTGCGGTATGCAATCTCATCATGCATTGAGCATTTTCTTAGAGAATTGTGTATTGATACTTTATTTCCTTTTTTCATACATGATATATCTTATTCTCTCCACAACGCAATCGCAATATAATTCTTATTGCCACCTTTGGATGGCGTAGATTAGAACTTCTTCTTTAGATTTTGTAAATTTTCAACATGACTTTTCAGGAGCCAGAATAAATGGATGCTGACACCTGTATCGTTCATTGTAATTCATTCCATAAAGACAGTGAACAAATCATGCAGTGAAAAATGCACAAGCCTTGTTTCAGACATGAAGCTTGTTGCCTCTCTGGGCACTTTTTCTTCGGGTCTGATATCAGAGTTGGTTCAACATCCAGATCGTGAGCTAATGCGGTTTCATTGCCGGGTAATTCTTATAATCTTGTATACTCTTTTAAGCACGTTAATTTTGTCCCTTTGTCAAACTTCTTTCTATTCGGGCTCTTGTTCCTGGGTGGCAGCTTACCATTGTTGTATTAGTTCCCCACAAAAATAAGGCTGTTGGTTGTTGTGACAGGTTGTTGCTGTCAATATACTGGTTTTCACTAACTGTAAAAAAGATGTCCATCTCCCATTGGAGTTCCGTTCCAGGCAGCATCAAATTGACATTCCAATTGCTGGTTTTGTTTTGGGTAGGAAATGCGTCTCTATTACTTGATTATTGTGATCAATACATGATGCTTTAAATACGGGTAAATCTTCTCATGAAAGAACATAAATGTATGATGTATTTCTTTTTCTTTCCCCTTGTCTAGATGATGGATCATTCCCATGTTGTTGTTGGGCAAATGCTGAAAGAGCATCGACCTTGCTAAAGTTGCATGAAGAACTTCCAAAGGGAGCTTACAAAAGCAATGTCTGGACGTTAAAGGGGTTTAAGATGGATAATACTCGCTACACCATCAGATATCATCTTGAGAGAATTTTAGAGAAGCATGACACGATTACAGTAAAAAACTTTGGATCACTGTTCGATTCTTCTTGCCAGGACCTTGTTGTTTCTGTCAGTTCAGATAACACCCTCAGTGGCTCAGATGAGAACTTCCTCAGATATGTTGTCTTCAATGCTTGCTTTGGCCCATTTTGGGTAAGTTCATGTGCTTTGTGGAATTGATTTGTGGGGAGACTTTAATATACATGCTAGATGCAATAAACTAGGCTAATTATACGATGTTTTTAGGGATGTTTATCACCATGTGGAAGTGGAATGCGGTAACAAAACATGGAAATGGAATTTTAGCCGGTCAAAATTTAAGTTGTCCCAAATTTATAATGGCAACTAATGTCAAAATTGGTATATTGTTAAAACATCTACCAAATATTGCAGGAAAGAAATGCTCACAAAAATTAGTATACTGAACAAATTTTCTGTTCATCCTGTGAACACAGATGTGAATTAATCTGCCTTGCTTTATTAATAAAAATGGAAGTACATTTAAATAGACCAAGGTTTGACCATCGAGTCTATAATCCTCTTCTAGGATCTCGGTAGAATAATTTCTACCAACTAATCTACTTTATTTGAATTTAAACAACTAACTGATAACTCCTAATCTACATAATCGGAAATGACAAACTAATTAAATAAAATCTCTTTGACTTATTCTCTCTAAAAGATAGATCTTATCTGCTAACACTCCCCCTCAAGCTTGGCTGTAGATGTCAATGAGCCTAAGCTTGCCTACTAAGTACTCGAACGTTGGTCCAGGAAGTCCTTTGGTGAGTATATCCGCAACCTATTGGCCTGTAGGAATGTACTCAATGCTAATAATTTCCTTCTCTAGTTTTTCAGTAATAGAGGGGTTGTTCTTTTGCAACAAAACTCAGAAAAAATTTGAACTCGAGTTACAACTTTATTCAAGTTCATGTTCTTTTGTAAAACTTGAGTTTAAACTTGAGTCCTCGAGTTCGGGGCTAAACTCGAATTTAAGTTTCCTCTTCAACTCGAGTTCATAAACTTGAACTCAAGTTATTGAACAATATTTTTTCTATTCTTAAAAATGTCATAACTTTTTTGTTTAAATTCTGATTGAGATGATTTTTTTTTTCTATGCATTCACAACGAAAAGACGAATAAAACCCCATCCATATACCCTATTAAAATTTTTCATCACCATTTAGTTTTTATTAAAATACTATCTAAATATTAATTTAAGTTTTGATTCACCCAAACATAAACTCAAAAAGATTCTTAATTCAAATCATAACTCAAATATACATGTCTAAACACAAACTCAAGTTACAACTTTAACTCAAGTTATAACTCAAACTCAACTCAAAATCATCACTCAAATCACCCTAACTTAAAAATGCAAAAGAACAACCCCAAAGTGTCTATCCACCACCACATGTTTAGTTCTATCATGATAGACTAGGTTGTGTGCTATGCTGATTGTGGCCTTGTTATCGCAATAGAGTTGCATAGGAAACTCACAACTGATCTTCAACTCTTCTAGTAACCGTTTCAACCAAATTGCTTCACAAATACCATGAGCCATGGCTCTGTATTAAGCTTCAGCACTGCTCCTCGCTACTACGGATTGTTTTTTACTGCGTCAAGTCACCAAATTTCCCCAGAGGCGTGTGCAATATCCGGATGTTGATTTCCTATCTTTGACAGATTCGGCCCAATCTGCATCAGTGAAGATTTCCACTCTTCTATTTTCTTCTTTTCCAAAAAATAATCCTCTTCCCGGAGTCTTCTTGAGGTATCTCAATATTCGATAAACAGCTTCGAAGTGTCCTTGGCACGGTGAATGCATGTGTTGGCTTACCACGCTTATTGCGAAGGCGATGTCTGGTCTTGTATGCGAGAGGTGTATTAGTTATACCACCATTCGTTGATTTTTTTCTCTATTAGCCATCTCTCCATCAATCAATTTTTCCTTGCCTCCTTGTTCAATTGGAGTCTCTATTGGTTTGCACCCCAGCAAACCATTTTTTACCAGAAAGAGTTTTGATCCTTGAAGGACCCCAAACATCACTGTGAAATAAATAAAATGGTTTTGAGGATTGATAAGGTTTTGAGAAAAAAGTAGTCCTCTGACTTTTTGATAAGATGCAATTCTCACAATAAAGTTTGGAGTAATCCACACCACGAAATAACATAGGAAATAATGTTTTTAGATAGGGAAAACTAGGATGTCGTAGTCTATAGTGCCAAAGCATTATTTGATCCTTAACAGAGATAGAACTAATACTACTTAAGCTTTGAGCTTTTTTAGTCTTGGAGTTTCCATCTTCTAAATAGTAAAGGTCATCTATCATGTTAGCACTGCCAATCATTCTCCCTGAGTTCCTCTCCTGAAACACAATGAGATTCAAAGAAAGTGAGATGACAATTAGAATCCTTAGACAACTTGCTCACTGATAGAAGGTTACACATGCAAGTTTAGGTACATGGAGAACAGATTTAAGTGTTAAAGAGCTAGATAATTTTATCAAACCTTTGCCGGCAATGGGAGAAAAAGATCCATCTGCTATACAAATTTTTTCATGGCCAGAACAAGGAGTATAAGTATCAAATAAGTGAGAAAAACTGGTCATGTGGTCAGAAGCTCCTGAATCTATAATCCGAGCAGAATCGGAAAAACAGCAAGATAAGGCAATTGATTCTCTACCTGTTTGAGCAAGAGAAGCACTAGGAGTACCCGATAATCCCGAGTTAGATTTCAGCAGTTTAAGAATGTGATCAACCTGCTCCTTGGTAAATGGGACAGTCGCGGCTTCATGTGCAGCAGGTGAGGAATTGAATCGTCCTTTATGTTTCCCTTGGTTTCCCGTGAAGCTTCTAGCATGTTTCACACGTATGGCGTGGCTTGTTGCAGTGATCACACCACACGTGAGGTTTCTCCTCAGTTTTCCGAGGACCAAGCATGACAAGTCTACGGCTTTCCTCTCCACGAACCTCAGAAAAAACTTCTCCCAGGGATGGAAGGGGCTGTCTGCCTATTATTCGCCCTCTAACCTCATCAAACTCAACATTGAGTCCAATAAGGAATTTAAAAATACGATTATCCTCCAAGGTTTTCTTATAGTGGTTGCAGTCCTTAGGAGATTTCCACTCATAGTCACTAAATAAGTCTAGATCCCGCCACAAAAGTTTCAAAGAATTAAAGTATTTTGTGACACTTCTCTCACCTTGGCGGATTTCTCCGAGTTTCAGTGTTAATTCATACACTTGGGACTGATTTCCCAAGTCTGAGTACATTTGGTTGACATTGTCCCAAAACTCTTTAGCGGTGTGATAACACATGTAGCTTGAGCTGATCTCTTCTTCCATGGAATTCACTAACCATGCCATCACCATAGAGTTTTCAGCGTCCCAAGTTGGATGAGAAGGACCTCCTGGGCTGGTTCCTTCTTTTCTCCGGTCAAGTAACCAATCTTCCCTCTCCCGTGGATGTACATGCGCACAGATTGTGACCAACGCAGAAAGTTTTCCCCATTCAATCGTATTGTAGTGATCTGGACATAATGGGAATCATGGGCAGGGACATGAGGCCTAGACGCATCAGTTTCAGTGGGTTTTGACTAGTTTACAGTAGTATTTGTGGACTCTGACATTGTTTCAGACATTATGGAAGGATGGCTGGGACGACTAGGGTTCAAAGGATTGCTAGGGTTGTAAGAGGATGGCTAGGGTTCGAGCAAAAGGGATCAATGCTCTGATACCATCTAGAGAAATATGGAGAAGAAAGAACTATGAAATTGTATTATTCGGTAGGCGTACAACATATCCTTAAATGCTAATTACAGAGGAAAACTATTATAGGAAAGACTAGTAAATATGGAATGTTAATTGCAGTACAAAATCAATCCTAATCATTACTTTCCTAATCTTCTTCAATTAGGCTCTTTGACTTAATCTCTTATGATTAGCCCAATATTTTCCATATTCGGTATAATTGATACCGATACTCATATCTTCAACAAACTACAAACTAATAACTCCTAATCTACATAATCGGAAGTAACAACAACAACAACAACAACAAGCCTTAATCCCAACTTAATTGGGGTCGACTATATGGATTTCACTTTTTCACACGGCTCTGTTCGAAATTAAACTATCCTGAAGGCCTAGATCTAGAATGTCTTTCCTAATAACTTCGGTCCATGTAATTCTCGGTTTACCCCTCCCTCTCCTAGTATTAGGTATAAGAATGTCATTCCAAGCACGAACTGGTGTTTCTAGCGGTCTATGTTGGACATGCCCGTACCACCCCAAGCGGCCTTCACACACCTTATCTTCTATTGGTGTTACACTTATTTTATTACGAATAACTTCATTCTTTATGCGATCCATTCTCGTATGGTCACTCATCCATCTTAACATACGCATTTCTACCACACTCATCTTAAATATATGTTGTCTCTTAATAGCCCAACATTCACTACCATATAACACAGTCGGGCGGATTACAGTCCTATAGAACTTTCTTTCAACTTAATAGGCATCTTGCCATCACATAAAACTCCCGTAGCATTCTTCCACTTAACCCACCCTGTCTTATCCCTATGTTGAATATCCTCTTCTATATCTCCTTCATACTGCACTATAGACGTAAGGTACCTAAACTTCCTATAAGCCCCAATCTCCACACCATCTAATTAAATTTCATCACTCTGATTACTTGAGTTACTAAACCTACAATGCATGCATTTAGTTTTCATCCTACTTAACTTAAATATCTTCGTCTCGAGAGTTTGTCTCCACAGCTATAACTTACGGTTAACTCTTTCCATATGTTCATAAACTAAAACTATATCATCTGCAAAAGTATACACCAAGGAACTCTATTTTAGATTTCTCTTGTCAGCTCATCCATCACGATGGTGAAAAGATAAGGACTAAAGCAGATCCTTGATGAAGGCCGATCCGAATGGGGAACTCCGCCGTGTAGCCTTCAGTAGTTCTCACACTCGTGACCACCCCATCGTACATATTCTTAATTACCTTAATATACCTCACATGCACTCCTCTCTTTTCTAGCACCCACCATAAAACTTTCATTGGCACCCTATCATATGCCTTTTTTAAATCTATAAAAGACCATATGTAGGTCCGTCTTAGCTTCTCTGTACCTTTCCATCAGCATCCTAAGAAGAAAAATGGCTTCCGTGGTTGATCTGCTTGGCATGAAGCCAAATTGGTTACCTGAGATGGTAGTTGTGGTCCTTAATCTTCTTTCGATAACTCTCTCTCAAAGTTTTATAGTGTGGCTTATTAACTTTATGCCCCTATAATTGTTACAATTCAACACATCTCCTTTATTCTTGAAGATGGGGACAAAAATACTTTTCCTCCATGCATCAGGCATATGCTTCTTCTTTAGTATCTCATTAGATGAGGTATATAGGAAACTTGGGACAAGAGAAGGAGAGAAGGATATATATAAACTAGCTAAGATAAGAGAAAGGAAGTGTCATGACCTAAATCAAGAGAGGTGTGTTAAGGATGATACGGATCAAGTTCTGACAAGAGATAAAGACATTAGGGAAACGTGGAGGAGTTACTTTGAGAAGCTTTATAATGATGATCATGCGATAGAGTTTGACAATCTTAGGTCACAAGGAGAACCTAATGTGATGTATACAAGAGGAATCAGAGTACAATTCCAGCATCTCCTAACGCCATCCAAACTTCTATTGGAATATCATCTGGCCCACATGCCTTCCCCTTTTTCATCTTTCGTAGTGCAGTTTTAACTTCCGAGACTCTGATTTCTCTTGTATACATCACATTAGGTTCTCCTTGTGACCTAAGATTGTCAAACCCTATCGCATGATCATCATTATAAAGCTTCTCAAAGTAACTCCTCCACGTTTCCCTAATGTCTTTATCTCTTGTCAGAACCTGATCCGTATCATCCTTAACACACCTCTCTTGATTTAGGTCATGATATTTCCTTTCTCTTATCTTAGCTAGTTTATATATATCCTTCTCTTGTCCCAAGTTTCCTATATACCTCATCTAAGCAAGTAGAACGAGTCTTATTAACTGCTCGCTTAGCTTCTTTCTTCGCTTCTTTATACAAAAGTTTCAACATCCTTACGCTTTGGTAAATCTCTATATAAATCCCTCTTGGTCTTAATAGCCTTTTGAACTTCCTCACTCCACCTCCAAGTTTCTTTCCCAGGGGGGCCTTAACCTCTAGATTCCCCTAGGACCTCCTTTGCCACTTTTCTAATGCAGCTGGTCATGGCATCTCACATAGTATTTACATCACCTACATATGACCAAGTAGCATCATCTAACAACTTCTCTTTAAAGGCCAATTGTTTTATTCCCTTCAAATGCCACCAACGAGTTCGTGGGAGGTGGTTTATCTTAATCCTTCTATTGTAAAGCTTAATGCTCACATCTAAGATCACTAACCTATGTTGGGTGGCTAGCGCTTCTCCAGGAATTACTTTACAATTCTTACATGGAGAACGATCTCTATACCTGGTGAGAAAATAATCTATCTGGCTTAAGTTCTTTCCATTCTTAAAAGTTATCAAGTGAGAATCTCTTTTCTTGAAAAATGTGTTTGTTATGATAAAATCATGTCTCAACGCAAATTCCAAAATAGATTTCCCTTCTTCGTTTCGAGCTCCAAAACTAAAACCACCATGGATCCTTTCGAAGTTTTCCCTATCCTTACCAACATGCCCATTGAAATCTCCTCCAATGAAAATGTTATCCTCATTGACTATACGACACACTAAGTCATCCATGTCTTTCCAGAACTTGACTTTAGTTTCCGCATCCAATCATATTTGTGGAGCGTAAGCACTAACTACATAGATGAACTTATTTCCTAGTACCAATTTGAGCATAATAATTCTATCCCCTATTCACTTAATCTCAACTACGTCATCATTCACAGTTTTGTCCACTAGAGTACCAACTCCGTTGCGATTCATTTCCCAACCTGTATGCCATAACTTGTGTCTCAAATTTCCAATCTCCTTTGCTTTCTCTTCTGTCCACTTCGTTTTTTGTAAGCATAAAATGTTAATTCTTCTTTTTACCATAACATCTACTAACTCCATAGATTTACCAGTTAAAGAACCTACATTCCAACTACCTAAACGAATTTTCGTATCATGGGCTAGCTCTGCCCCTTGCACACATCCATGAATGTGCAAGGACCCCCCTACATATTTTTCACCATATCCGGGGCTCGACATGGTGCATGGGCTCGCTTTTCTCCCCGCACACGTCCATGAATGTGCGAAGACCCCCCTTGCCTATTTAACACTATACCCGGGGCCCGGCATAGCGCGTCACACGTAGAGAACGCCCCAATAGATTCTATGTGAGTGAAATCCATGAAAGTGACTTATTTTTACGCTGGCCGTCAACCTACTGCAACCTTCCTCCTTTATCTAGACTTGGGACTGGCTATACAAATGCATAGGCGGAGTTACATAATTAGGAGTAACAAACTAATTAAATAAAATCTCTGACTTATTCTCTCTAAAAGATAGATCTTATCTGCTAACATCCTGATATTACTTTTTTTTCTTAATTTTTAATGTTATCCATCAATTTTCTTAGGAAAATAAACAAAAGTGATCGTTTTTTGCTTCACAAGAGGAAATTAAACAGACGCTTGTTCCTTCTTTGCAGACGATTGTTGCCTCATTTATGGATTCAGATGCTGTTGGCCAGTTGGAGAAAGAAAAACTCTTGCATATGGAGATGAGTACAAGTTCCATGCAAAACATATGGGCCAAAGAAGTTCGTCATACAAACGCTTTTACCGAGGCCAGGGATGTGATTCAAGAACTCTTAGACAGGTAAATGCATTTAACCTTTAATATAGTTGGATGTACACTTTGAAATTTTACGTGTATATTCCATGTCTTGTATGTAACATCTTCTCCAGTTCAATCCATGGCACATCGCCATTGCTAGAAGTCGCAATTGTTGTATATTGCTCATGTTTGATCTACTATTATTGAAGATATAGCTGCCATGCGTCTCCATAAGTCAAGATGTCTTGTGGACAGTATTGGCCTGCGGGGCCAATATTGCGGAGGCCTTATGGCCAGGAGGTTGAGCCATGTTCTTTCGGTCCGCATGCGGAATCCCCCACGTGAGGCACACCGTGTGACATCCAAGGGCCCCGTGGTGCATCCTAGGCACACGAGGAGCCCAACGTGAGTTGGCTCAAGGGTCAGCCACACTCACGGGACTCGATGATCAGCAGGACACGGAGGGAACGTCGTATACATGACCTGGGCGGCCTAGTGTGGGGCTGCAAAGTCGGGGATGAGTTGCTTGGGCAACATGCTTGTGCAGTTGGAGTTTGTTGGCCTAGGGGCTTGGCCTTAGACTTGGGGAACCCTTAGGGCCGTGGTGCACAAGAGATGCGCTAAGGATTGAGACGGATCAGCTGGAAGACATGCCGGTTGGCCTTGGGCCAAGATGTCATAGGTCGGCTAGTGTTGGAGGCACTGAGCCTCTGCACATGAATGCAGCCATGCTGCTAGCATGTGAGAGTTAGTTGTAAGCGATGCTCATAGGTGTGAATCAGGATGCATGCGCACAAGATGGCTTGATTGTGAGGAAGGCTGGCCTTGACTCGGGGAGTCTTGGCGTCGCACGGTCGTATTCCGCAACCTAAAAATCCCAACCCGTGACAATTGGTATCCCGGACCATGACAATATCAAATGGTTACCTTGCTTCTTGTATTCTTATTCATAAACGGGCTATATTATGCATAAAGAATGACTTACTCGATGTTAGTCCATTTTGTTATATAGTGGGAATCATTGCTGATACTTTCAGAGTTGTTTGTCATATATCAGTCTACAATTATATTTTCGGTCAACAATATGGTAGTGTGAGACAGGAATTGGCGTCCCCTTTTAGCAAGTAGCTTGCTTGTCTAGCCTCATTTTCCGATGATATGAAATCTTAAAAAGTTTTTCATTGTACCACGTGAAGTGAGTTAAGGATGCAGCTTTTTTTGCACATATTTACTTGGAAAACTTTATGGTCTTTAGATCCATGAGCCTTTCGCAGTGGTCCAATTTATTCCTTGGGGACATGCACAAGCACTTATTATGAGGTTTTAAGATGGATCCATGAAAACCAAATATAGCTGAAACCGATTTAAAGTGGTAATTGAAATTGCTTTGAATTTCTCAAGGAATTGCTGAGGGTGACGGGTCATTGTCGAAATAACTCCCTGGTCGTCATCATTATAGGGTTGGTCAAATGTCTATTTTGATAATAGGGAGGTAGAGTTATTAATACTAGGAGGACCAATGGCTCATTATCACTCCATTCTCCTCAAAATTTTATTAATTATTACTTTTTTTCTTCAAGACCCTTGAGCTATATATGTGTGTGTACGTTCTGAACTTCAATGCATATTTGCTAGTATGTTGCAGGCGTCGACTGGGTATTCTCAGATGGCATAATTTTATTGTTTGAACGTTGAAGTCCTTACATTGTCGATAAAAAGTAGTCTGCAATTACTGCCCAAAAAATTGATCTAACTCGGTGTGAATCCAATGTTTTCTAAGGCTCTTTGACATCTCTCTTTCTCCTCCCTTGGTACAAATTTTGCCATCTCTAGAACCTAGAACCAAATACGGTCCTTAAACGCTTTCTCTACACAATCTCTCAGCATTTCATCATTCTATTTATCAAAATACTACTGAAGAGAATTTTCATGATTCCCCATTATACTCTGCTTTCTTTTTCCATGTTAATTTTAAGAAACTAGGGTCCTCTGGATTTTGCCAAAATGTCATTGCCTCTCAACCAGCAAGCTCCACCAGTAGTAACAGTAGCGACACAACCGTCTTACAACAATGTCCACGTGAGCCATGGGTCGATTGGTCCCGTCATTGCCGTGCTGATTGTGATCATGATCTTGGGCGTAATCGCAGTGGTTGTTGGGCGAATGTGCTCAGGCAAGAGAATCATGGGTTATGGCCAGTTTGACGTGGAGAGTTGGGCTGAAAGAAAATGCTCTTCTTGCATCGACGGTAGGATCAACGCCCCAATACCCAGGGCTAACGGCTCTGTAACCTCTGTGCCAGTATCTAGTGCCCCGGCTCAAACCCATTAGAGAATAGAGGAGTCAAATCAGGCTTGAATCCAGATTGGGTTTTTGTGACAGCTAATGCTAATATCATGCATTTGGATGAAGGTTTATATATATATATA